GGAGACTTTACTGTATTGACAAAATTGAAAAATACCTAAATAAATAGTTCATCGTGTCGAATGCTACAATATCGACGAATGTCATTTTTGAGGCCGTAAAGGAGTGTTTATATAAAGATTAATCTTCCATTATGTGTGTTATTATTGTCTACTTAGAGAATATAGAGGATGTTTCATTTAAATCTGTTTGGTTTCAAATGGAACCTTATTTAAACGTAGATAAAAATGTATATTTTGTAATTTTGTCGATATTGGTGTCACTCAAGTCTGTGTCGGTGAAACCTGTCTCGATCATTTTCATAGAACCCAAATTAATCATTCTTGTGCACTTCTCTTTTTAAATTTAAGCTACGATATTAACTTTAATACTTTTTCACGATTTTTCACTTTAACACCTTAGATTTCAAACAGCATAGATTTAAAATGAAATAGCTTCCAAAAAAACCCCATTTAACGATTTTCAAATGTTACGTTACCACGATATTGGAGTCATAGATGCCGAGTTAAAAGTCGTGGCAACGCGTCACGTGAAAACGAACCTTGAAGACAGGTTAACGAAATTCGATCGTTTCGCGTTTGAATTCGAGGAATCTTGTCGACGCGACGAGCACGTGGGTCGTCGACGATGTTCCCCGTGCACGCAGTTCGTAAACAAGAGAAATGCCGCGAAGAGGGAGGAGGGTGGAGGGAAGGGAAGGGATCCACCCCCGCCGGTGAACGGTTGACTCTTGTCTTATCTTCACGTGCCACGACATTCCACGTTCTCACGTTCCACAGATACGCTAGCTTTAAAGGTACGTACAGACTTGTAATAAAAAGACGTCGCGAACGCAAGCTATGTGAACTTGGCACCTGACTTTTCAAAAATTAATTTCTTTTAATAGAAAACGATAGTATTTCGTTAGTACCTGATTGTACCTTCAATAGTTTCGTTTGTACCTCCACCAGTTAATAATTAAAAAAAATTCAAAAAATGGTCAGCACCCGACATCGAGATTTTTGAAATCGGTTTTTCCCGATTCTTTAGAATCGTTTGTACCCGTTTGTACCGCTTTTCGTTTCGTTTGTACCTCGATAGTTTAACTTATACAGCAATTGTTGTTCCGCGTATGAGTGAAGTTCGTTACTTTTCAACTATTTTAGGTACAACCGAAAAGAAAAGCGATTCGGGCGGGTACAAACGATTCGAAAGAATCGGGAAAAAACAGATTTTAAAAATCTTGAAAATTAACGAACTTCACTTTTACGCGGAACAACAGGTTTCCTTTAGGTTTCATTTCTTTGGAACTCGAAGTGTCGATAAAATGATTGTCGTTGAGGCAAAGGTGACCTGATTTTCAAATCTCAAATTTGGAATCTCATTCGAGGAGTCAATATAATCTTAGCATTCGTGACAATAGAATGCTAAGAAAGCATCTCGAGTTGCTGGTAGATACCAGAAAAAAAAGGCCTCGAAAGGGCTAATATGTAGTAACCGTTGCTTGGTAATAAAATCGTTTTGCGACCTGAGTATAAGAAAGTTTATGCTTCATTTGAACAGTTTTTTTCCTTTCATATTTAACGACGCATCAACCTTTGGTTATTAGCGACTGTTCTTTATACATATAATTGTTCTTATTGTTAGATGTTGGTCCAAATATCAGCATCTTTAAGTATCTGAATTATTTTGTTTATGTTTTCTTCTGTGCTCCATGCTTCGTTGAAACTAGTGGGCACTTTGTTTCGTATTTTTACAGGTAAATATTATGTCTTCTATTTTTAGAATTTGTTTGCACGTACAACAGGTGGGTCTTGTGGTCTTCCTAAGTGGGTGTTCATGCGTGTACATCGTATGTCCAATTTTGATGCACGTAATTGTGTATTATTTTAGTGGAGCGTTTCTTTACAATTTTATAAGATTCAACCTATTCCTAGAAATATGTAGAATATTTTATGGTAATTAAAAATCGTAATTACTCGTTTAATTTTTCGAAATATGGTACGAGTTGGACGCCTTTCAAAATTGATAGATTCGTAAATATATCTGTATGAAGGTGGTTAAAATGTTACATATTCCGACATATTGTACCCCAAATCAAGTTTAGCAAAATAAACAATAAGGAGAAGACAATTCTTCATTCGCAGTTTTGTCCAGCTAGATCAATAGATCTGTCCACTGTGTCACCCGGTACATTCTCGTATCGGTCGTTGAATTCGTCTTGACACGAACTATAATATTGTTAAGTCAAAAATATAAAGTGCCATTAAACAAAAAATGAAAAAAAAAAATGATAATATTGTCAAGTCAAATATTAGTATATATATATATATATAGTATATTGTTATATATAGTATAATATTGTTAAGTAAAAAATACAAAGTGCCATTAAACAAAAAATGAAAAAAAAAAATGATAATATTGTTAAGCCAAATATTAGTATATGTAGCATATATATGGTATAATATTGTTATATACATATATAGTATAATACTGTTAAGTCAAAAAAACAAAGTGCCATTAAACAAAAAATGAAAAAAAAAAAAATGATAATATTGTCAAGTCAAATATTAGTATATACATATAGTATATTGTTATATATAGTATAATATTGTTAAGTCAAAAATACAAAGTTCCATTAAAAACGAAAAATTAAAAAAAAAAAAAAAAAAATGAACGAACACCTAGACAATACTAAACAAAAATTTTGTTTCGAACTTTATTTATTCCAATGTGTAGCAAATCGAAAACTGATCAACATTTGTTTAAAATATCTTTTTGTCAGATTATCGCGAGCACTCGAAAAATCGTGAAAAGTGCGGGACACACTGTATATGGATTTAGCTCTGCTAAGCCTAACGTGCTTCGATTGTAAACGCGACAAAAAAACAGGATTTGCGCGCGACTTTTGCTTACAAGGACTGAGTTCGACACTCGGTGTAGTCCAAGTATCAATTCGTTTGTATATAAACAACTAACGAATGATCTTGCTAGAAATGATCTTGTTGATAATATAAAATTCAAGCAACAGATGGTTGACGGACCTTCCCTCTCTCCCAATTAGTGCGTTGAATCGCGGTTTCACTGTAACAATAAAACAAGAACGAGTCTGAAAACGTTCATCGTGGTCGAGATCCGGCTGGAGGACGCGTCGAAGGAAATCGTCGCCGTTGTGGGTTCTTTTTCAGCATGCATGCGAAAAAAACGAGCAAGAAGCGTCGAGTATCGTTCGTATGGGACCCGTGCATGGTGCGTAGCGGGAAATCGTACAGTCGAGCGTTCGATCGCGTCCTTTCGATCCGTTTAACGGGGTATTATCGTCTAAAAACTTCAAAAATTCGATTTTTTTTCTTTTGCATTTTCTTATCATTTGAGGTTTCGAGAAAGTGCCTCTAAAATATTAATTTGAAATTCGTAGAGTTCCCACAGTTACAGAGGCTTAAAGGCTGTTCAGCAGTATTAGTGGTAAATGTATAGCAAACTTTAAACGCGTTTTTCTCGAAACGACATTTTTCAAGTCGGGCGCAGGTGTTTCTGAAAAACTATTGGACCGACTGACTTCTGGTTTTACACACATTTCGAGGGCACCATCGCCTATGGTCTGAACTAGAATTATACCGATAACGTGAATATTTTAGCCCTGCTCTCATATTTTAGTCGACAGTTTTCCGGGAAAATTAAACCTTAATTTTTAAACAGTTGCGATTCCGGTAAAAAATTTACGATACGATACGAGTACAACGATGTGTTACACTATTACACATCTTGTATTTTCAACATCATAAGATTGTAGCTGACGTCAATACGGGTACAACGATGCGTTACACTATGACCTTCGAAAAAACCTTGAAAATTACAAAATTCGGAAATTTTGTTCATATCCTTATATTTGGCCGCTTGAATAGTACAACTTTTTCCTTTAACATTTTCGTCTATCTTTAAGTTCAACTGAAATAATTAGGTGTTCTGTTTCTCGTGAATCACCCGGTATATGTATCTAAGGAAGCGTGGCACTTCCTCCATTCGAATTTCCCGCGCTAACGCGCACTGATAAGGTGAAAGAGGAACAACGAATTAGATAAGATAGATAAGAATAGTGCTGATCAACAATAATAAACAATAATATATAATAATAGCAAGAACCCTGTGAACAATTGACATCGAATGTTGTTTCTGTGTTTACAGGTAAGGACTGTATTAGAGGGACCGAAAAGTAATGTCATTTTCTTTTGCATTAAATTCAAGTAAATTCAATCTTAATACGTATCTATTTTTAAGCAATTGTCAATCAACAGCCCTATGAAATTTTCAATTCAAGATCGATAAAAATCAATGAGTTGATGAACGATAAATAACTATTGAGATTGCCAGAAACGACATTATTTTCCAGTCCACCTGATAAATAGTAGTTTATAAGTTGTACAGTAATGGTAATAAAATAATCATAACTGTGTTATAACTGTGTATGATCTAAGTTTTAATGTTAAGAATTCAATGGTTTAAAAGTTATTCGTATCTAAAGTTGACGTATTTCGGCGTATTTCGGAGGTTAAATGCGACGCTATATTGACTTTTACCGATGCTCTGTTAGTCAATTAGACTTCAAAGCTACTCACACAGAATTTTCGTAACATGTTTTACCATTTTAATGTTATTGT